AGTTTGGGGTGTAGCTGAGAGTATAGTGGAGTCTTTTTTTAATATGCCCAGTCATCAAAAGGATAGACAATGAAACTATTGCCATGAGAAATTTTGCAAGCTTTTCCTATTTAAATAACGTGCTTCTGTCTGTGCAAGTTTTCCTCTTGTGTATACAAAGACTTTTGAAGGGAGATGAGAGTTCATTCAGTTGTCCCAGCATTATCTTTGTAGTAAATAAACTTGGTGTCCTGGTGAGAACGTTTTATCCTGCACTGCCACCCGTGGGGGCTCTCAAGAGGAAGGCTGTTTGACAGCTGTCCTAGTTGCTTAGCCTTGGTAACAGCTTGTCTCAGTTCTTACTGCAGTTCCTCCTGAAGTCCTCTTAAGTTGCTAGCAGGGGAGAGTGCAAGTCCTGAAGGCAAAAAGATGTTGCAGAGATTAAAAAACTTGCTTTGGCCATCTTAATTGGACTAAATTTTCATTTATTTCAGAGGTAATCTGGATAAAGCCATTGAAATGTTCAACAAAGCTATCAACCTGGCCAAATCCGAAATGGAGATGGCCCACCTCTACTCCCTCTGTGATGCTGCCTATGCCCAGACAGAAGTTGCAAAGAAGTATGGATTGAAACCACCAACACTGTAAAGGAACAAGGAGGAATTGGCGTTCTAAAGTGAAGTTGCCCACTTCAGCCAGCCCTAAAGACGCTGTTGCAGACCATGCTGAATGGTGGAACTTAGTTTTTTCCCGTTCGTGGTGTTGTCATTTGCTACATCTGTTAAATGTTTAGGTGTTGTGGGAGTGGTTGTTCAAGGAAGTATGCAGTGCTGCATCTTGTTCCTTCTGCAGCAAAAACCTTAAGGTGTGTTAAGGGAAATAAAGTTGCAGGGGAACAAAAGGAAGATATTTTGGCCATGCAAATAAAAACTTCACACTGGTTCATTTTGGGTGATTATGTTGTGGGCGATTTTTGCTTTTTCAAATAATAATACAGCATGTGGGGTTTTTTCCTGTTGATTTTAAAGGTAATACTAGTCAGTGCTGTAAAATAGATTTCTTTTTTATATCCTATTAATCCTTGAGGGTTGATTTTAATTTTACAAAAAGGCAAAAATTAATTTTCAAACTTTAATAATAGAGGGTTTTTTTAAGTCAGTAGATGTGGAGAGAATCCCTGTAAATATATGCAAGCATGCACAATCTTCCCTTAAATTCCCTTCCACCTTCTGCATAACTTAGAAATAGTCCTGTGGCAGCTATTAGGGAATTAATTTGATAGTCCTTATCTTCACCTCAGAAAGCCCTAGAGAACTGATTAGGAGAGCAAGTAAAAGAGGTTGGCTGGGGAAGGAGGTCAGGTAACACTGCTTCAGCAGAGACTTCACAGGAAGAAAGGCTGTGTTCCTGTGCAGCAGTCCTTACTTGAATGTCATGGGAAGTTGTTCTGGAGGGTTCAGAGGGACTTCCAAGAACAAAAAGTACTGCTGGGAGTCAAGCTCCCAAAGGTAAGGTCATGCTTGCATATAATCTTTGTAATCTCTGATGCTTTTGCATAAATGTAACAGACCATCTAAATTCTCTTCAGTCTCTAGAGCCTGCTGTGTTACTGCTCCTTTTAAGAGCCCCTTTGCAGAATTAAGTGAGATAAGGAACAAAGCATAGGCTAAAACTTCAAATAATGGATTTGGAGTCTGCACTGCTTTCCTTGTTCTGCAGACTTTGTCTTGTCTGAGATTACAAATACTGTAGAAAGGAAGCAACTGTGCTGCAAACAGGAGAGGGGCAAATTGTGGAATAGTCTTCCTTTAGTTGAGAACTTCACCCCTGCTTTGGGTTGATCTTTCTGGTGTGAAAGTCAGTCAGTCCATCTTGCCTCTCCCTGGGTTGATATGGCTGGATAAACCTCATGCAAATGATGTAGCTTAACTTATGACACGCTAGTTTGGGCTTCTTTCCATCCTGAAATCATAGATTTGTTTGTGGTGAATTGTCTAATGTATTTAATCTTTTAAAGAAATTAATGATGCTGTAGTCAAACTGTCTTGTTCTGTAGTTGTGCCACCATACAGCAGCAGCTTGCATTTTCAACTTGACCTTCCTTTCTCCCAGCAACTACAGTTGAGAATTCAAATGGTGGAGAGTAGACATAAAGATTTAATCATTCTATTTTAGCTAGCTCAGTAGGTGATCTGAAATCATAGCACTGGTGTGGAATTGAAGGTATGGGAAGGTACTGGCAGCTTCTAAGGGCACTGCACGTAACAAGTGTCAAATGTCTTCTCGAACTTCCAATCTCTGCATCAATTACCTGAGAACAAAAATATGCCAGACTGAGGAGTCCTGTTCTCCTGAGGAGTTTTTATTCGCATGGCCTTATTTACATTGGCATTTTCTCCTCATCACCCCACCTGTACCCCATTCCTTACCCCACCCAATCAATTAAGGGAAAAAAGCATGTGCTGTCAATTACTAGCATTCCAAATCATCACAGACTTTTGCCTGTTCTTGAACTAGTTTGAAACTGCACTGAAAGGATGCATTGTCTGTAATTTTTTTGTAAATGACATATCACCTGTAAACTGAAAAAATAAATACTACCTTCAAGTATCTCTCTCTGACATGTATAAGAACAGGTTTTGATGGAAGTGTTCTCTGCTGTGGTGAGCTCTGTGCTTAGTTGACATTGCTCCAAATCTAGGATGAACTAGTACTGACTGACTCCTTATCATCTGCTCTCACTTCAACCTTTAAGAATGAGGAGGAGATGTGGAATCAGCAAATCTGATCTTCGCTTGCTCCCGTCACCCACAGAGGTATGATCTTGAGAGCTGAAGATTACAGGGGAAAGGAAGTCGAGCCAGGAAAGCTGGGAGTCTGAGTAGCTGACATCTTGTTAATGTGTGTATGCAGGTGGATCCCTTTGGTGAAAGGGACTTTCTTTAAATGGCTGATAGAGCAGAGGTTTTACTTTAAGCCAGGTGTGCATGTGAACTTTGAGAATTGAGAGCTGAAGTGAAACAAGTATTATTGCTATTTAAAAAAAATAAAACTGTTGAAATTATGTAGGAATCTTGTACTGAAGACTTGGATAAACCTGGTGTGTCCTAGAGGGATACTCTGGGAAGTTTCTTCTACATATAGTTGTCTTGCAACTTAATTCTGATCATGTATAATCCCTGTTGTTCACAGGGACAACAGTCTCAGGCACATGGTGTGATTCTTGGGGTGTCCTGTGCAGGGCCAGGAGTTGGACTTGATGATCCTGGTGGGTCCCTTCCAACTCAGCATATTCTGTGGTTCTAAGCTGTGACTTGAATTACTAGGCTCTAACTGCAGATTGAAAGTGAAGAGGGAACTAACACACGCTGAAGAGCTGCACTGTAACTTACTCTGGAACTGTCAAGAGCAGCTTAGATGCTGCTTTAACCAGCCCAGTGATACTAACACTGCCCAATACAACAGGCATTACAGTGTTTCTGCCATTTCTTTAAAAAGAATTTAAATTATTGCAACTGGAAATTCTGCAACTATTTTGGGGTTGTTTGTGGTTGGTTTTCTATCCTTACAGAGTACTGGTGCACATGTATAATATGACTACTTAAAAGTGCCTGTTTTCTATCAATACAGAGGTTGAGTATTGGCTTCTTTAAGTATTAATCTGAGATTTGATAGTGAACTTTTTTTCATTGAAAGCCTCAGAAACTCACAGTTCCATTTGTATCACTTACGAGTGGAGCACACTTGAGACCCTACTAAATATTCCACTAAACTAAGGTGCTTAGAAGTTGTCCTGACAGACTGAAGAGGACTGAGCTCATGTCAGCTCCTGAACTGAGTTCTCCAAAGGAGCTTGTGACAGATTTTCATCCATCCTCTCCATTTGGGATTCCAGGGGAGGAGGGTCCAGGCCCCAGTCTGTTGCAGACTGCACTTTTCATTTTCAAAATTTCAGTGGTCATCTTATGAGAGTCCTGCACTACTTTAATCCTCCAAAGGTAGTATTTAGTTACTGCTGCATGTTAAACTAGCAGAGAGAGGAGAGGGAAAGACAGAATAGTTTAGGAAAATGGATGCATAATAGTTACTATGATTTAGAAGTTGGAGCCCAGCAATGGCCATCATGGATGCAGACTGTTGATTATGTGGGAGGCACTAATCTAATGCAGGAGACTTGGCTCGAATGGTAAATTGTTAATTTTTTAATATTTATTTTCCAACAAATAAATCTTCATTTCACTTTATGTTCTGTGGCTTGTTTCTTAAGAGTTCCAGTCCAGAATGTACACCAAAATGCAATGAAAATACAGACCAAAAGACCTGCTGAGATAGTTAATGCCACTGAGTGGAAGGGTGGGACCTGTCTTTTGAGAGGAAGGATGCATCAGGATTTGGCTTCATTCAAGTGTTCATTTTCCTCTACAAAGCACACATCTGGCTCATTGCAGAGAACCAAAAGAATAGTTACAAAAGCAGCTGTGGGAAGAGGATGGCTGAACGTGAATAAAAGGTAAGGTGGTTTGGGGGAAAATATAGTTAGCTAGACCAAGACAAAACCTCTCCTTCCCATTTTTGTATTTTGAAATCTTTAACCTTACTGTGTTTTTATGCTGCTAGAAATCTGAAAGCCTATTAGTATAGGCTGGAGAGGTGCTTCTTTTTTTCATCCCAAGGAGGAGAAATTCTTTTTACATTAAAAGGTGTCATCCTTCTAAGAAAAAAACCTAGTCAAAACTATACCATGCTTGGCTGGTTGTCAGAATTTTAAAGCCACCTTTCATAATCTGTTTGTTTTGTCTCTTCAGCAAAAACAGCACAGGAGAGGGAGTGTGTTCCCTGCAGTGGGTGGCTGCTGGCCCATGGTAGCAATAATGCATTTAAACACTGAGCAGTTTTCTGGAAGACTGGGGGCAGAAAGGCTTGTCAGTGGAACAAGTTTTCTAACCCCTTTGAGTGACTACCCTCAGCCTTTTCCAGTGAGAACAACCAGGCACCAGAATTAAACCCCATTCAGACATTACATTAGGGAAGCACTATATTATATAGAGCCAAGGTATGGCAACATGGGAATTGTTTTAACAACACAGTAACCCACGTCACTTCAGCAATAAACAGGAATTGCCATAAGGAAGATTTAATACACATAATCCAGGCAAGAACACACGAACCAAAAACTGTTACAGATTCTTCTATAGCAGTAGCTCTGTCTGGCAGCTTCTTGCATTGTCCCCAGTAGTGCAGAGCAGAATTTGGCCTGTTTTGCTCAGTGTTAAATGTTAAGATTTCCAAGTTAGAAGTAGGGCATTCCAGGAGCTTTGTTAAGGCCTGTACGTCTATAAAGGACCGAGCGGGAAGAATCATGCTTCTAGATTATCTGATAATTCACTGGAAAATTCATAATACCAAAGCTGACTTGAGTTTCAGAGAACAAGGTTTCCATTTCTGTGTTCTACAAAAAAGCCTCCAAAAGGTAACTAAAACATTGTCATGCATAAAAGCAACGTTAATCACTCCTGTGTTGAACTGAACTATGAAATATTTAAGTGTGAGAGGAGATATAAAAAGTAGGATTTGAATCAACTTATGAATTGCACCATTAAGGTTTTTTTTGTGTGGTGGTTTTTTTAACTGGCACATTCAGCAGTAAATTGTAGAGCAAGCAGTCAAGGAATCCTTCTCAAGGTGAAGGGCACAACCATTGTGGCACTTGAACCTTCACTCTTCACCCAGCTTCACTTTTTCATCTCTACACCATAGAGGTCACAACGCTTCTGGCTTAAAATAGGAATTTGTTGACGTATTTCTGCAAGTTTCTTCAGATCTACAGGGGGAGAAGAAAGAGTTATGAGAACAACAGCCAAAAAAGAAAGCTCCTGACTTGCTCTGAGGTAAGGCAGGGAAAAGAGAACTATCAAGGAGAATGGACCTGTAGGGCACTGCAAGTGGCAGCCAGGGCTGAAGAGGCTCAGCTTTGCTCTTTCCTTAGGTGGCAGCTTCCTCCAAAGTAAGGAAACTACAGGAGTAGAGCTAAGTGCTGCTTGTTCTTGCTTTAACCCAGCAAAGGGGGAAAAGGCATTGGAATGCTGCATTATCTGTAGTTGCATGTGCAAGGCCACAGACTTAAAAAACTGTCTCTCCTTAGGCTCATGGCCTGTACTTGAGAAAAAACAATGGGGAAAAAAACCAAAGCAACTTTACCCTTACCTATATCTGTGTATACAACTGTTTCCTCAGCCCCAGCTTTGGCTATGACTTCACCCCTGCAAAATTAAGCACATTTGTTCACAGCATTAACACATTGGTCTCAAGGAATCAGTCCAGTTGCTGCTGTTTGTACAAAAGGGAGTTCCTACCCTTGATGCCTACAGCTGTAAACACACGGCTCTCCTAAAAATAGCATCATAATTCATAACTCTGGCATGATGGAAATGGCTTTCAGGCTTTATATGTGGCACATTTTATATGTGACATATGCATACTTCACGTGTGCTCCAAAGATCAAGAACCAGGGCATGTGAGCATGCAACATACCTCAAGGATAAAGGGACAACCATATATGGCAAAGACTAACACCTTCTCCTTTCAAGATCCTACTGGCTTTTAATAGGAGTATGCTGTTACTCTGCATGAACTACTGAACATGATTTAGCGTGTCTCCCGCTGAAGTGTTCTGTCACAGCTTTCATCATATAAAGTTAAAAGCTCAGAACACAGACAAAGATTTTCTGGCTTTGCAATCAGCTGGAAGAGAACTATCGGTGGATTTATTTGAGAGAATAAAAACTGCCTGAAGATTTGGTCACTTTTACCTCCTGTGCACCTGCATGACTTCTGCTCAAGTCAGAATATCTCTCTTCTCTAGCCGAAGACATTTTTCTTGTTCTTTATTATGTCAAAGCAATGTTGTTCTTTGAGGAAATGAAATAGTTTTGTGTAAGCTGTTTAACATGGTTTGGTTCAACACAGAAAATTACTGTATGAGTAATATATAATGGACTGAACTTCAGGGACAAGTTGAAAAGGTCAGCAGCAAAGCTAATGCTAAATGCTAGTACTAAGTAGCATCTTTACTACCAAAATGAATACATACTCTTAAACTAGTTTTAGTTTCTTGTTTTTCAGTTTGACAGTTTTAAATGATGATTTTGAGAATGCAGGCTTAAGTCTCATGTGCTTTTTACCAAGAATTTACATTTTTAAGAGTAGGTGGAAATGTGAGACTGAAGTGTCAAGTAAAACACATTTTTTAACAAAAAAAAAAAAAAAGGTGTTGTTGTTTTTAATTGAACTCACCATGGATTTACTACAGTGCTGTGTCCCCAGGCAACATAGGATGCTTTTTCATCTCTAGCAGGAGATATGGTAGCTACGTAGACTTGGTTATCAACAGCACTGTGTTCAGAGAAAGATGAGGGAAGGGGGAGAAAGTGAGAATTCCTTTTATTCTATCATTTAACTAAGCAGAAGAGAAAGAATTCGCTCTGAATGACAAGCTTTATATCCTCCTAAGGACTAGCCAAAACTGTAAATGATATGAAGGTCAGAGAAAGCAGAGCCTGGAAAGAGAAGTCTCTGGCACCTGACTCCAGTGTTAGTGCACAGAATATCGTGTTGTTCACATGTTCATTCAGTATGTAAGAAAGTTGACTGAAGCTGACCAATAAATAATACTGCATTCAGGAATCTCAGAGTCTATTTCTCTCTGTAATTAGAGCAGTTCTCAAATGGTTATTGGCTCTTCTCTCTAGAATTTGTGTGTGAAGAGTGTTTATAGAACCTTGGGAAAAGGTCCTTGAAAGGGCATAACTGCTAGGGGCTGGCAGGAACAAAGACTAAGTAGTTCCTGCTTTTCTGCTTGACAGCAAAATCATGTTGGTGTCCCATGCAAGGCCATGCATCATGAGGAATGGTGCAGCTCCAATGGCAGACAGGCCCTGTAGCACCACTTCTGCTGCATAGTGTCATGTGGAACACAAGAACAGTTCAGTTCCATGCAGTAAAACTTCCTCTGGAACAGGAGGATAAGCTGTTACCGTGATCTTACCGTCCTCTCTGTAAGAGTTCCCAGTGAGCTGGTCCTGTTGTCAGGTTAAAAGCCCCTGGATATATCAGCAGCTGGCAACCTTTGTTAAAAGACAGTTAGAACCCAAACATTATTAAGAGGAAGATAGTTTACCCTACAGTGGCCCTTCACACTGAAACTCAAGATGAGGTTTCTTTCAACTTCACAAACTCTGCCTAAAATGGAACCAACCAGAGCCTGTCAATGCATAACACAGGTGATTACTTACATCAGCAAAGACCTAATGTGGGGATATACCCAATTCCCTCACTGCCTCAGCAAATGTGTATCAAGAAATGACAGATACTTGGTGAGAAGAGTCACTCATCTGGATAAGAGTCTTGGCCACAAGGTGCATTTTGTGTTACTGGGTGAGGATGAGAACACCCGGTCACACAGACTGCTCACCCTGAAACAGCCCTGCTTGGTTCCAGCCTTAGGGTTCACCCTGCTCCTTCAGGTGACCCAGCCTCACCTTTCTGGCCGTAGATTTGAGCCATCTCAGCAAATCTCATGTCATAGCAGATGCCCAGGCCCACTTTACAGTATGCTGTTCTCAAAACACAAGAGACAACAGTCACATCGCTATCATGACGTACACAAAAGCAATTACAAGACTCCCTGTAGCCCTCCCGTCAATTGTTGTTTTATGTCTCACAGCAACAAGAGGAGCTATAATTAAATGTGTGCCCAACAAGCATTGGCTATTGGTGAGGGGGAATTCATGTTTTATGATGAAAGACTTAAGAGAAGCAGTCTTATCTACCCTTTAACAACAGCTGTTTCCAAAAAATCATGTTCTATCAGGTCTTTGTGTAACATATTCCTCTCTCATTTAGCTGCAAGTTTTTCAATTATTTCCTTTTCAAGAAAAGAAAGCACTCACTGTTTGTCATGGACTAAAACTGCAGTCATGTCCTTTCTTAGAGCATGGACATTGCAAGGAGGAGAAAGTGACTACGGGAGATGAGACTCTTTGGAGAGCTCAGTGAACAAGCTGTGTTAATTTTTGAACACTGTGGGGTGGGGAGGAGTAAATATCTTTCTTTTTCGTCTGATGTGGTTGATTCCAGAACATTGGAATGTGATTTACAAGTTACAGTTAATTGTCTCCGTTATTGTATCATCCTCACATGAAACAGTGTGTCAGTGGAGCTGCTTGTTACAGCTGTTTGTTTGTATAGTTGTAGCTGCTTGTACAAGCCATGTTTTATAAGAACCATTTTCAAGCTGTAACTGCTATAAAAAATACAGTCACTTCTCTTTAACAAATCAATAGGACCAATATTTAATTAAGGCAAGTGCCACAATGTGTGCTTCAACCCTTTCTACTCCTCTGCCCTTTTGCAACCATGTTGCCTTTTTAAAAGTTTCAGGAGAGACCACATATTTGAAGCAAAATTAAACTGCATTTGCTGTGGCTGTAGAATGCCTAATATAAATCTGACAGTCTAAAAATCCATTGCTCGGAAGGAGGAGGGGGAAGAGAACTCCAGAATGACTGTGGTGTTACTGTGGTACAGCTCCTTAAAGAAAGGGCTTGTCTTGTACTCACGTGTGTCAAACATGGAGAAACTGTTCCCTGGACTCAGTGTTTCAGACTCTTTGAACTGTATCTTCCCAGGAACATTAATGTCAAACAAATGAACCTGCAATTATACTGTGATTAATAACAAAAACAATTTCTGTGCTTGGTATTTGAGCCTCTTTCTATTAGTCCCATGTTTTCCACTGTTATCTAGACTACTCTTTTGCCAGGATCCAAACTAAACATTGCTTAAGACTGTTAGATCCTCAATGATGATTTAAAGTAGTTTTCCTCTTTAAAGAAATATACCTGTCTGAAATGGCAAATCCCTGCAAAATAGCAATATCTTGATCTAACGAGTCATTTTGCAGAAGAAAGGATATATATAAAATGTCTTGAATTCGGCAGGATGATTTTAAAGCAGGTTAAAGAGGGTGATATTTTCCTCTCTAAGATTCGAGTCCCATTCCTGCAAAACTTCTCCAGGAAATACCTTCACTAAGTCATAAAGCTCCCAGCTTTGCAGATGCCTCTGAGGCCCTGCAGACAGTCTTTGTCCCTCTGTTTCAATGGAAGATTCTCTTCCTGACTGGAGCTTCCTAATAATAGTGCTGGGTCAGTACTATTACTTGTTCATACTTACACAGTACAAGCCTGCACTCATTCTATGAACTGGTAGGCTTGCAGATTGGTGTGGTATGAAAGATGGTAGGCAACACAGTAATTCAGAAAGTGATCCAGTAGTGCAGCTAACTGTAGAATTAGTTAACAAAATAAGTGAATACCTGCACCCCAGAGGTATTTTGCACCATCTTATTTTTTTCCAAGTAACCTTGCATCCTCTTTTTTGTTTATCCTTGAAAGAAATAAGCTGTTGTTCACCTATGGAGTGCTACCTGTGTGCATAGTAAGATTTAACACTCTGGAGTTACAAAGAGAAGGCAGTTTCTCAGAAGGCACAAAGCAACGTTGGGGTGGAAGGTGACGTTAAGCAAACATCTACCACAAACAGCAGTTACAGCTTCACTGTGGAACCTGGGCTTTGGTTGTCTCCACCAATCATACATACAGCACATAAAGTATGTAAAGAACAGTATTTACAACAACAGAAGGACTAAATACATTGGGAAGCTGAGGGAAAACCCTGATCCCACTTAAGTGGCACTATGTATTAGACTTAGATCAGATATCTGAGTTTGATCAGGTTTTACTTTTTATCACAGTTTTCCCAGCATATGGGGAAAGGCAATTATACCTTCTTTAGTTTGTCATCCTCATCTAGACCAAATTTATGATCAGCTTCTGAAGGGGCGTTTACATGTCCCAAATAAAAGTACCTGAAATGTCACTGACAGTACACAACTTATTATTAATGAAAGATTCTACTAATTTCTATCACCTTTAGGTACAGATGACATAATTTGTGGAACACTGCTGACAAACCTTTTCATAACAATATTCTCCCATCTTACCTTCCTATGCTTTGCCAGCATAGCACCATCAGGCCCAAAGACAGTACATGTATTATACAGCTTTCCACCGTCCTCTTCTGGAATGGATCCTTTGTAAAGGCAAGAACAAAGATTTCCCCCACTGTATTATATCTGATTTTGATCCAATGGCACTAACAGACATTGCCCATCTTTTCCTCAATGGGACAGTCACTAAGAGTAAACTACCTCCGATGAGATATATGCTGCACTCCTTTGCAACTTCTGAGAGCTTTTGTGTCGATTCCCCAGGGATCTTCTCTGCATACTCCTTAAAGTATTGGGTTCCATATGGAGAATTAAAACATTCCTAGAAGTGGATGGAAAAGAAACAGCTAAAATCCAGTAACACCACTACAAGGAGATGTACTCGGCTTTTCAAACCCCTCTCTAAAAATGTTCTCAAACAATGTTTAGTTACAGGAGTTTAGCTTTTAGGAACTCAATAAGCAAATTTAAAAATATCAGGAAGGCCAGAGAGGCTTTAACCATTAGAGAAAATACAGCAGGTGTGCATTTCTCAAAATTACTCATTGTTTTCCTAAAACAACCCTTTAAATGCTATTTCCTCACAACTGGACAGTGTCTTCTGTCTTAGGTGCTAGTTAAAGATCTGCTATCCTTCAGAACCAGGCATGTAATCTTTAGACAGTCAGATTAATGGAGTAGTTTAGATGCCTAAACTAGGTGGGCAGTGGTAATTGAGATGCCCAAGACATCAAGAACTTGCAGTCTGAATTATTACACTTGCCAGCTCTGTGAGGACGTGAGACACCCCACCCAACACTTTTTTTGTCCTCTAAAGGAGTACAGCTGAGGGCCACAGATAAACTATCAAACAGTACCAGCACTTACTCTTTGGTAAATGACTCCCAGCCCAGGCATCTGCCTCCACTGTTACCTTGGCTCATTGGATGTTGTAACCAACCCACCTCCCACCCTTCCCCCAAAACAGGAGAAAAAAAAAAAACAAGCTGTGAATAGCACAATAAACATTTATGCCTTGCCTGGTCAGCAAACTTCTTAACAACCGAGCTGGGTTCTACTGAACCAGAATAACTGAACCAAAAGTGGGTGGGTATTTTTGCCCCATATGCAGACACTGGGCCAGCAGGTGCCAGCTAATCCACAGCAGAACTTGTAGTGGAAGAAGCAGGAAGGAAAGTCTTTGCAGGCTGCCAAATGAGCTTCCCAGGCTTTTGAAAGCTGGGCTGATTTTCAAGGAAATGAAAGCACAGCCAGCTGCCTCCACCTTCATCTTGCCACTTGCAGTGCCCATCTGAGTGGCACTGAAACCAGGGGCTGCAGAGAACAAGCAGAGCTCTGTGCCAGCCTGCAGTGGCACTGCCTGGGGCTGTGCACAGGCCGACACTGGGACAGAACTGCAGACTGTCTGCACAGATTCCCTAGTGCTGTGCCCTCCAAAGCAGAAAAAACACAGGGACAGACCTCTGAATTGCTTTCTATCAATTTTTAGATTCAAATGGATTTTGCTTTTATTTTTTAATTAATAAATACTACAAACTGTATTTCTTTCAAAAATTTTTCCAAGTTCAGAAATAAAAAGGCTAATATGTCACAGGAAAACTGCCACATGCCTCTACAAAGGTGCAGATTATATAGTCAGTGTGATTTACTACTGTTCTTTATATAAACTTATTTTAAAAAAATCAAAACAAACAAACAAAAAAAACCCCACAAAAAAACCCAAACCAAAGAGCAAAACAGAGGGAAGAGAATATTCATGCCCATGTCCTAATGCCAGTACAAAATTTACTTCCCAAAAGTCTGTGAAATACCTTGCCCTTGTTCGACAACTTTTACTCTGAAAGCATAAATTATCATTAGCAAAGTAAGTATCTCAACTAAATAAGTCTGGGAAACCCAATATTTGTACACATGATGAAACCAGCAAATAATAGGTAATCTCCACGTAGGAGGCCCAGGCAGAACACTCAGTGGTTATTACATGTGCAACACAAGCACTGTGTTAGCAGAGAGGAGCTGGAAAGGTTGCTTAATGCTTCCCCTGTGACAGCAGGAGAGAAAACACTCCGTGTGTAAAACTGAGACCAAAAGTTCACCCAGAGAAGAACTTTGCACTCCTGAGTCAGAGGCTGCAGGGTACAGGAGCGACACATGTACTCCCAGGAAGAGAGGGGAAAAGCTCAAAGCTGCACTGGGAAGGTCATCTTGTTGCCAGCACACCCATCTGTGTGAAAATTCAGCACAGTCATCATAGCTGAAGTTCAAGAAGTAAATCAGAAATGATCGGTAATTTTAAGTGGCTACTCATGTTCCCACACAAGGAAGTCACAAGAGAAGTGCCCTTTAATCATAATTCAGCCACATATAACCTGCTGGAAATGTCTTAAGTCTGTTTTGTTTCTCTGTGGATATATCTGGAATGCCTACAGCAAAGAGAGTCACCATGTACCTGTCTTCTTTCACCTTCATGTCAACATTCTTTAGCTGAAAATCACCTTTTTCTGCATTTCTTCAGCAAAAATTCCAACAACAGTGCTACTTACATCAATTCAGAATGTAAAAATGATGGAATTGCCTGGGATTTAAATTAGCAAAAACTTTGCCAGACTCTTATACTACAAAAAAGGAAGACCTGCTTTTTTCCCCCCCTTCTTGTCCCCCACATCTTAAGTGTGCTGCTGGATAGAACCTGTTTTTCTTTTTTTCTTTTTTTTTTTTTTAATTTTTATTTTGAACCCTCCCACAGCTTGTAAGCTATGCAGAGAGAAACAGGAATACAGAATGCCTTAGTAACACTAGAAAGAGGTTTTGAAGGGTTTGAGGCATAGGTGCCAAGTAGACCATGGCCTTTACTCACAGGTAGAGCCACAACTTTTGCTCCTTTAGCTGATGCTTCTCTAACCAGTCCACAGGCTCGCTGAAGATTATCTGATTTAACAGCAGATACGTGAAGCTGAATAAGAGCGAGGCGGAAGGCTAATAGCAGAAAAGAATAAAAAACATTCAGTGGAATTCACTCAGGAAACTCTTCAAAATTTGAACTCAGTAACAAGCACTTAACAAAATAATTTTTTTTTAATCTATAAGCATACATATAAACCACTTCCAACTCATTCTGTGGTCTGTGGCTCTCATAGCACAGGGAGAACACTGAAGGCCAGGTTTGCTAATGGGAACCATGCACGGCCATCACCATGCCCAGGGCAAAGATCACAGAGTTCTTGTGCCAGTTCACTCAGCCCAGACAGTTCCCAGCCCACGTTCCAATGGAAGGTGCCATGGTGCAGAAAGGGAGACCACAGGTCATCGAGCCAAAAAGATGTGTGAGCCCATCTTTTTGTGGCACATGTTGCTTGATTAAAACTGTATGTCCTAAAATGTCACTAGCAAACCAAAGAATTGGATAATCCTCAAAGCACCAAATAAGGGAATAGTCTGCTTTTATCCCTCAAATCACACCTAGTCTGGGAAAGGGCTATGAAGGCCAAAAAGGTAACATCTTTCCTAATAACTTCTTTGCAATTTGGTTTCTAGCCAAAACACAGTTGCAAGTGTTATCAACAGTTTCTACTGTCACTAAGCAGGTTCTATATTTGCAGGCTTTCAGAGTTTCCTTTTAAACAAACAAACAAATAAACAAACTCTAAAACCAAACAACAACAAAAAAACCCCCCAAACCCCCCTCGGTGTGACTATAGTTTCCAGACCCACTTAGGTAACCATACCAGGAATCTGTCAAAAACTTTCCCGTACTTGTGGAATGTGTTTTAGCTCAGAGAAATTGGGCAATTAATTTCAGCAAAAACTCACTTTTGAAAACAAACAAACAAAAAACCCCAACAAATCAAAAAAGCCCCAAAACCACAGAAGTAAACAAAGAACAAAAGAGCATCTACTAGGAAAAAAATCCAATAATGTTTAAAATGCTAGAAAAACAATAATCTTATTTTCCCTACGCCTCGAGTTTGGAGTTTGTTAAAGGGCAAAATTAAAGTTCAGTTACAACAGAATAAACAAAACTGGGGGCACAAGTAGGTGTAAAACCGTCCAGATGTAGAAGTAACAGAAATGCAGAGAAATTTGCAACAGTGCTGCAGAGAGAGATCTCTGCTTCCAGCCTGGATAAGCTGCCTCAGAAACTCCCTTAAAAGCAATTCTCAGGATAAGCCTACAGCAATGCTGACCACAACCAGGTAAAGGCGCATCACAGAACAATAACGGTTTGCGTTTGTATCACTACAAAACAGGCTTTTTTTGTTTTGTTTTGAGCTGTCTTTTTCTGTAAAACACCAGAAGGCAAGCACGCCCGCTCTGTCCACATCCCCTGACGAGCTGACCCTGCACGGCGAGCGCTGCGTCCCGGTCTCCGCACAGCACAGCTCCCTTTCTCCCGCACTACTTCGCAGCCCTCCAGAGGCTCCGGACCGAGGCCTTTCCCGGCCGCACCGGGGCTGTGCACCGTGGGGCACCGCGGGGCGGCCCGGGGCGACCCCCACGCGGTGCCTTTTCCCCGTGCCCGGGCGGGGGAGGCCGGGGGCGCGGGGAGGAGAGGGACGAGGGGCCCCCACTCACACGCCATGGCTCCGCTCGCCGCCCGCATGCCCGGCCGATCCCGCACGGAGCATGCGCGGGCACGGAGGGGCTGCCGGGACACGCAGTCCCGGCCCGGGGTTTTGCTAAAACCGACTCAAACGCTGCCTTTAAGTAGTCCGCTGGCTCCCAGATCTGAGCTCTGAGCAGGAAAACAAGCAGGGGATGAAGCACCTACCTTCCTGCGTGACCCCAGTGGGTGGCAGGGAACTGGCGGTGCTCCTCCAGCGCCACTCCAGCATCCCGCAAGGACACAGCTGTGCACCCAAACCTCCTGGAGCTCAGCAGCTGCTGTGCCTACAGCCTTTTCCCCGGCCCTATGCAGCCTTATGCTTGCTAAGGGCTCGTCCCAAGGGATCTGTACCAGTTGACAGGTAACTCATTCACCTGGGACATCCCCATTTATCTTCCTCTGTAAGAACAGCATCTCCTAAGGCAGAGACATCCCCACAGTACTCCACATCCGGATAGCTGTGTCCAGTTCTGGGCTCGTCGGTACAAGAAAGACAAGGAGCTACTGGAGTGGGTCCAGTGGAGGCCACAAAGATGATGAGGGGTCTGGAGCATTTCTCTTATGAGGAGAGACTGGGAGACCTAGGCCTGTTTAGTCTGGACTAGAGATCTCATTAATGCATATAAATATCTCCAAGGTTGGTGCCAGGCTCTTTTCAGTGGTGCCCAGTGACAGGACAAGGAGCAATGGCCATAAACTAAAACACAAGAAGTTTTACCTCAACCTGAAGAAGAACTTCTTTACGCTGAGGGTGACAGAAGCACTAGAATAGGCTGCCCAGGGAGGTCATGGAGTTTCCCTTTCTGGAGACAGTCCAAAACCACCTGGGCATGTTCCTGTATAACCTGCTCTAGATGACTCTGCCTTGGCAGGGGGGTTGAACTGGATGATCTCCAGAAGCCCCTTCCAACCCTAACAATTCCATAAAACCAACACGCTAACATGCCAGGCTGTTCTTCCTTAGCTTTAAACATCAAGTCCTCCCCTTTACTCAACACAGAACATTGCTGTCTCACATATGTATCTTCCAACCTCAAGCTTTTTATAAGCATGCTTGTAGAACTGTAGATTCATGTTGTACAGAAGCAGTATTTCTCAAGCAAGAGTACCTCTGTAAGCTGACAGCACATGATAGCAGAAGGGGCAAAGATAAAATGGGTAACCCAGGGTGATCAATCTCTTACACACATTCACTTCCAGGAAACATGCAGAGAGACAAAGGATGGGAAGTGCACAACCAAGCAGTGACAAACCTTCCTTCAACAATGACAAAACTTCCTTTAACAATCTGTACCTTGCAGCAGTAAAGGGAACCATTCATCCCAAACTGACCAAGCCAAAGGACAGCAGAATGGACAGTGCAGAAGCCCTCTGGCAGGCCTCTCTTCTTTTTCACTTGCCCATGGTAATTTTTTCCCCCAAACAGCACACCGTGCTGCGCTCCAGGTGCAAAGAACAGCTGTCTCCTGACTTGACACAAAATAAGAAAAGCAGTATCATCCCTTCAAGGTGAAAAGCACAGACTAAAAATCCAGCTTCCATGGATCAGAGAGATAAAACGTATTTTTCGAGTTTCAAAACAAAAATATTTCAAAGCACTAAGAATACCCAAAACAACAAGTTACATGCCATCACCCCTCTCCTTCCCAAAGGGGAAACTTTTCAGACATTCAATAGACTATGCCTATATTGAAAAAGGTTATTTGACAGTATCAAAAGCTCTGAAATTACAACTGAAGTTGGAAGGAAAAGCTACAAGCACAGTTGAGACCCACGTGTAAGGGCTAACAGGAACTCAACTGAAAGAAGAGCAAGCAACCTTTACTTATGTCTGGAGAAGGCAATGTAAATAAAACTGCAGCTCTACAGTCAGAGTATTTTTGGCGGGTAATGCAGGTAAAGTTCTGTACAAATTCTCCTACACAGCAGAATCTAAAAGACTTTGTGAGACAACTGAAGACCACAGAAGCACTGACCCTCGCTACGAAACACAAAGGTAAGAGCTTTCATTTGGCAGGGAAGTTGACTCTGACTGTTTCTTTCCTGCTACAGACCTCATTTCTATCACCAAAATAAAGAAAAAATAAAAACTAAAACTCCAGCAACAGCTATCATCTTATATTCAACAATACAGACAGCAGTGCATGCAGAATAAAACAAGAACCGGCAAACCTCTGGCAAATAATTGAAAAAAATTCCTTGAAGATGAAAGGGACAGGAAGTAGCATACCTACTATTTGATTTTTCTTTTCAAAAAATGTCACTCTGGTACTATAACTGGAATTTCTGCTTAGCAATACAAGTTTTATAACAAAGGTACTAACTACAAATATGTACTATAAGGCAAAAGTAACCTTTAAATTGTGGGTAGAGATGCACAAACATCATTGAAACTAATCATAGTTTGGACTGAGCTTTGTAAGATTTGTCTGCTGGTAATTGGCACGTTGCCTTTAAAATTACAAATAATTAGATTCTTAATGGCTATATACATGTCTACACAGAAGAGATTTAATAACTTACTGTTGCTTTACTTATTGAAGATCTAAAAGGTCTGTATTTGTTGTCCTCACAGGGAAGCATACACATTAGCTACTTTCCATATTTAATACTCAAATACCCCTGTTTAACAACTGAGTGTAATTTTCACTTTTTCTCCTTCTGACTAGGAAAAATATGTTGTATCATTCTGTCAACATTTTCATAATAAAAAATATGATGTTGAGAAGTCTGGAATTTATGCAGAAACCCCTTCTATAATTTGACCACTTGTCAATTCATTTTGACCTTTCTATGAAACCTTACTATGGCTCACCCAAAAGTACTGAATGGAATTTAGTCTAAATGCCGAAATACTTACGTTAGGAAGTCACTGGCAGTAGGTTCTGATGATCCATAGTCAGCTTCTTTGGTCCAAAGACCAAAGTCACTTCCATTTACAAAACATCTTTAGGAAAAACTTCTAATTGATTCAGAGAATTCACACAGTATATGCAGCTAAATGCATTCTGACAGAACGAGTTATGTTCAAATTGTACTGGTTTATTTACAATTGTAGTTTATAAACAGTAGCACAAACATCTTTACATGAAAAAAATCTCATTGCTGAAGTAGGCAGAGAGTCAGAGACTCTTGAGGATATTTTCAGAAGGGATTAGGAAGAGGAAAATGTAATACAACAGCTGCTGGGCAAAACTATAAATACATGAGCATTGGCCCAGGTGCAATTTCATGCAAATATCTTCAACAGTTCAAGTTCTATTGGTGTTTATTCAGATACTAAGAAGGGAAAAAAAAAAGGAATTAGTTCCAGAATTAAGGTGCCCTAGCCTGATTCCTAGTAAAATAACTTAGAATAACTGTTTTTTATAAAGGTCAGTTTAATTTATTTTATCTCCTGATGAAGTACCAAATCATAGGTTTTGATAGAAATACTCAGAAGACTTCATGCAGCAAAGCTAATCCCCACCATCTTTATTTAACAGTTTTTGATGATTTCCCATCAGTCCACAAAGATGCTATGCCTTGTTCATAAGAACACTCCTGTTCTGAGCTTTTTACCACGAGAACCGTTCATGAACAAGTGGAAAGCTGATGATAAACAATTCGTAGTTGCCATCTCCCATACATTAATTAATTTAGAAGTTGTTACTTTAAATAATTTACACAAATGCTTGAATCAATGAAAGCAACAGGTTAAGAATATATTTATCACAGGCATAGCACTGGAATCTCTTCACTTAATTTGTGTGAATTCGTTTTCTTGCTGTCAGCATGTACTCACTTTTGTGCTGAACTGAAGGTTTTTAAACATCTAAATGTCTCAGACATTTTGTTTCTGAGGAACAAGGTAACTGTCATATTCTGTAATGACACATTAATTTCAATGCACATATTCATCTTTGCATGAGAAACAGCCTCAATCTATGAAACATAAAATTCTGTTTAATTAAAAAAAATCACAACCCAGTAGTAAAAACTACAGTTAATACTGGTATTTAGAAATAACCCATACCACCAATGCCAGTTACTTTACCAAGTAGTTGGTAAGACTTAAAAAAAAGTTAACTTTACAAATTGCTTGTATTTTTTGCATTTATTTGCAGCCCAAACTGGACTTTACCATTTTTAATGAGGAAACAGTATTTCTAAGATTTGTATCTGCTCCGCTTATAAACCTAAGTCTTTAATTATCTTTGATACTACCCAAAATCAGATTTACAGACCGTAGGCAATGGAGACATTTACTTTCAAAGGATAGTAATTTAAAAACCATTCTGTTTTCAACTGCTTCTCTGTATCTCACAGTGTTTCATTCCTTTAATAAACTTAATGTGAACCCAGCTGCATCTGCTTCTGCAAAGATGCAGATCACTCCCATTAAGGCTGCATTAAAATGAAACAAACTGACCTTTATAATAAACATTTCTTCAAAACCAAGAAGTTATAATAAAAAAATTAAAAAAAAGTTTCAGAAATTGATAATAATTTACCCTATCTTAAGCCTGCTACTCAGGCACTTCCACCAGCAAACAGAAAAATTCTCATAAGTTAGTATTCTGTTGGGAAACAGTCAGCTTGTGTCCACATACAGTATCATAGTTGCTTCTTCTTTATAAACTGGTCTCTACAAAGTCTTTAGTTACTAACTCTCCAAGGCATCCAATACTTTCATGATCTGTTGTTTTATGGCTTTGGTAGCATCACCTGCATTTGGAATCAAATACCTTAAAAAAAAGATTAGAAAAAGGCATCATTAATTCAATATAAAATTTTTAAGCATAAATTTCATCATTCTTTTGATTCTTTCTCTGGATAGGAGAAAGAGAAGAGGGGAATATACTAAAATGAAAAATACTGAGAAAATATGATTTAATTCCTGCTTCTACTATGAAACACTTTGTGTTTGTGAACCTACAACTGCTGAGGAGCACTTCACAGGCCATCTTGGAAAGGAAATGTTCTTCATTAATTGGCAGTGGTATAGGTCAGGCAGTTCAACATCTCTACTGTCTCACCGAAGCATAGCAGT